TTAAGATTGCTCAGCAAGTTATCTTTTCCTCCTGAGAATTTTCATTCCAGTCACTCCACCCCCCACCCCCACCCCAACACATACACCCAGCCTTTTAGCTTCATCAGATTTTCTTTTCTTCTCTTGCTCTCTGTCTACATGCTGGTCTATATTGGCCTTTTCTGTTCTTCTATCTATAGGTATCCCTACATCATCACCCTTAGAACAGTCCTTTTAAGAGTGTTGGAACCTACAAGATGAAATTTAGATCAAGAATTTCCCTTTTCAGATCAGACCTACAAGACGTAAGAGAAGCTGTGACTCCTGTGAATTCAGTAAATCTTACATAGGGTAGGTGGTCAACAGTTGTATGGTTTTGCCTTCCCATGTGTTTCCAAAATAAATGCAACTGAAAATTGGGCTTAATAGTTTCATGATTCAAAATGAATCCATGAATATTCTTTCATATATACTTTCATTGATCATTAAGAAATTGCCTTTATATATCTGAGTTATTATTCAAAGATTTCTTTTTACCATTTGAGTTTAAAACTGCAAGTTAAAGGCTGGGATAGAGCTGGGGYTGTGACTCAGTGGTAGAGCACTTGCCTAGTATGCATGAGGAACTGGGTTCCATCCTCAGCACCACATTAAAAAACTAAATAAACGAAATAAAATAAAATATTGTGTGTTAAGGCTGCTATGTTTCGTTTAGCCTTTGCTAAGGTGGAAGCTCATTTACATAGAGCTTCAGTCTGCTTTTTCACCATTGTGACCAAAAGACCAGACAAGAACTATTTTAGAGGAGGAAAAGTTTATTTTGGGCTCACAGTTTTAGAAGTGTCAGTACATAGACAGCCAGCTCCATTGCTTTGGGCCTAAGGTGAGGCAGAACATCATGTTGGGAGGTACATCATGGTGGGAGGTGAGGCAGAACATCATGGTGGGAGGTACATTTCCATGGCAGAGGAAAGCAGCTCAAGACATCATCACTGTGAAGCTGAGAGAGACTTCTCTCACCAAGACCAAATATGTACCCCAAAGGCTCGCCCCAGTGACTTCCCTCTTCTAGCCACATCCTACCTGCCTACAGTTACCACCCATTTAATCACTATCAAGTGATTAATGCACTGATGAGGTTAAAACTCTTATAAGCCAGTCACTTCACCTTTAAATTTTCTTGCATTGTCTCACACATGAGTTTTGGGGGTCACTTAAACCGTAACACATACCCTAAACAACCCTATTCTTAAGTTGTATCCTAAAAAACGAAAAGCATCCTTTGAGTCACTAAATTTGCTTTGAATTTGTGGTGTTCATGTGAGATGCTTTGGTATAGAATATCTTTTAAAATAATTTTATTGGTGCATTATAATTATACATAGTGATAGGATCATTATGCTATATTTGTAAGTGCACATAATAACCACAGTCTCATTTCCCAGTACTTTCCCTTTCCTTTGTCTCTTACCTCCCCCTGATCTGCTTGCTCTCCTCTATCAATTTTCTATTATTGTTGTTAGTGCATTTTTAAGTGTGTGTGTGTGTGTGTGTGTGTGTGTGTGTGTGTATGTCTGCAGGACTCATTGTAGCATGTTCATAGCATAATTTGACAGATTTCATACCCCAGTACTACCCCATTTATTCCTACTGACCCCCCCCCCCGGTTCTCTTCCTTTACTCTATTTGTCTTCTACTTTTGTCTTTCTCTCTGTCCCACCTTTTTAAATCCCTTCTATCCCCCACTCCCACCCTCAACCCCTAGTTTCTACATATGAAAGAAAACATTTGACTTTTAACTTTCTCCACTGGCTTGTTTCACTTTGCATGATATTCTTCAGTTTCATTCATTTACTAGCAAATTATATAATTTCATTTTTCTTTATGGCTGAATAAAATGGCATTGTGTATATATACTGCCTTTTCTTTATTCATTTGCCTATTGATGAGCTGGTTCCATAACTGGGCTATTGTAAGTTGCACTACTATAAACATTGATGTGGCTGTATCAATGTGGTATGCTGATTTTAGTTCTTTTGAATAAATACCAAGTAATGGGATAGCTGGGTCATATGGTGGTTCGTCTCTTGACCAGGCCAATTACTGTAAATACAAAGATAACACTTGTGGCAGAATTTATTTCTTAGATTATATTCTAGTGTGACTTGGAAGGAGATCCTAGTGTCTAAGACAAAAAGAAAAATAGACTATAGGGAAGTTAAAATTTTTCTCTTTTCCATCCAAGAGGGGTTCAATAATTTTAGTCATATGAAATGAGTTGACAATAGATAGATCACAGGAGCCAAACACATTTTATGAGACTTAAGAAAAGGGCATGGTGATTGCCATTTATATAATAAATTAGCACAATTCTTTCTTTTTCCTCCTCTAGTTATATCATGGTTTTGACTGTGTAACTATATATTCTTTAGTGTTGAGTGGTGATTATTCAAATTTTGTTTTCTTTGCACTGAAAATTTACTTTAGCTCACTCTGTATCTATCACCAATTTGTCTTCTTAATATGTTCAAACACATCAGGAATTTGATTTCATTGTTCTAGATTTTCTCTTGTGAAATCTCTTCTCTTGGGGTTGGGGTTATAGCTCAGTGATTGAGTGTTTGCCTCACATGCGTGAGGTACTGGGCTCCATCCTCAGCACCACATAAAATAAATAAATAAATAAAACTATATAGATATATATATATATATCTTTGTTTTATATATATATATAATCATGAAAAGAAAGAAATCTCTTGCTTGTTTCTTGACTCTTCTTAAGGTCCCAGGATCACCCTTAGGGATTAATCAAATACCTTGTTTCTATGTTGGTTCCTGTATTTCCTAGATACACCTGATTCCTTTCCCTTTTCTTGGTTTGTGAATTTATTTTGATGGAGCAGGTGTTACACCGGTTCTCTTGAGATAGAAGGCAAATTGAGATGCTATGTCTAAAAATGTCTGTAATTGATATTTTTGTTGGATGTAGAACTCAAGGATTTCAAAGGTACTGCTTCTTTCAGTTGTCTAATAAATTCCAGGGCTGCTCTTGGATACTTTCTGGTTCCTGCTTTTCTATATGTGATCTACTTTTTGTTGTTCTGGTTTTGAATCTCTGACAGACTTTATGTCTGTTGTCATCAGTATCCTGCAATTTTGTGATGTCATGCTCTGTCTGGTTTACATCTTTTTTTTTTAATGTGTTGAGCATTAGGCAGGCCATTTCTTATTATTTCTAATTTTTGCCTAATTGGATACAATAGCTTTTCTCGTCTAAAAGCTTTTCTCGTCATATAATTATATGATTTTATCTTTTTCTTTTCTCAGTTTTCTTTTCCCTGGCCTAACTCGAGTTCTTTTTCCTCTTTTCCTATGAATGGTATGTGTGTGTGTGTGTTTGTGTATGTCTCTGTTCTCCCTCTTCTTCTTTCCCTCCCTCCCTCCCTCCCTCCCTCTCTTTCCTCCCTCCCTCCCTCTCTCTCCTCCCTCCCTCCCTCCCCACCCCTCTCTGTTGGGTAGCTATTCCTGTATTCCACAGTGTTATTAACCTACATGGGACCATAACCCCTTTTGCATGCTGAAGCTTATTGACAGAAACTCTTTAAAAATCAAAGAAAATTTGTTCTAGTAAAATATACTTATCTGAATATTTTTCAAAACTATTCTATATCAGTATATGTACTTGTTTATTAACATATTCAGTAAAATAAGAGGTAGCTCTAACAATGATCATAATTTTGAAGTAATGATGAGTATAAATATTTTCGAAATATTTGCACCAACTATAATATATGAAAATGTCTTATTTTTATTGGCAATAAGTACACGTATTGCCAATACTATTGTTATCTATAGCCTATATTTATACTTTTTATAAAGAGATGTCCCATTTCAGATAGAGTTTAATGTAAAAAGTTGTTTTTTACATTCAAGTTCTTGGGCCTTTTGAAGTCTGTTGAATAATCGATTAGTCCTAGGGGAATTAAGAACACTTTGATTAGAGGTTTTTTTCAATGTAAGATAATGTAAAGCTGATTGTGGAAACTCTGGTGACAGAATGGGGCTTGACAACTAGAAGTCTTCAGTGTGAGTTGTGAGGTACTTAGCTTTCATTACTTCTACATCTTTCTTCTTAGGACTCAAATCTCTTCCCCAAAGAATCCACAATATTCTGTATATGGAATTTCAGTTTACTTCTCCGTTAGATAATTTTGCTTTCTCATATTCTTCTAGCAGAATTTGCTTTTGTGATTTTACTGAATGGATGGGTGGATAGATAGATAGATAGGATTTTTTTTCTTGTGTTCCAGTAAAACTTTATTTACAGAAATAGGAGGGCTGAGAATGGAGCCCAGGAGCAGAGCACGTACCTAACATGCATTAGGTTCTGGGTTCAATCCCCAGCGCCACGGTAAACAAAAAACGAGCAGGAGATAGATTTGGGCCCCAAGACTTATTTGTTGACCCTTAGTTAGTTTTTACATTTTAACATCTCACACATTCTATGTGGTATTCCTTAGGTGGATTTACCCTAATTAATTTAATAAGCCCTTTATTAATATACATTTAACCTTTCAGGTGTTTTTTAATTACAAGCAGTTCTGCACAAACAACCTTGTTATCATTGAGTATTTTTCTAAATATATCTGGAAGAAATTCTTGGAAATGAAATTACTGTATTGAATGTAGGCATATTTAAAATATTGGTAGAAATTGTCAATCTGCTCTCCATAAAGATTATACCTGTTTATGCTCTGTCAGTGATATGTGAAGGTGCTGACTTCCCCACCAYACACTTGTCAAATCTGAGACTGTGAAAAAGGCCATACACTTTAGCTCTAAAATTAAAAAACTATTTTTGGGTTGAGGGGTTCTGAATGGTTATATTAGATATGTTCTTATTAAGCATGGTCATTCCAGAAAGGTGCACATATCCTCTTTTAATATTAAAAAAAACTTAATATGACAAGAAATAGGGCTGTTTCTTTATTTCATATTTAATTTTCACCCTGATTTTCCAGGAGCTTTCAAGTTGTGGATGGAATAAGAAGGAAAAATATAGTTCTGCACCAAATGCAGTTGCCTTCACAAGAAGATTCAATCACGTGAGTTGTTTACAATTTTGATGCTTAGTTTTTGAAATTCTGTTCCTTAGTACATAATTTTTCTAAATAGGAAATTGTTTCATTTTCACATCGATTCTGGAATATTTTTGGCCAGTATTTCTTCAAATATTTTTTTCTCATGATTTTTGCTTTTTTCCCTCTATAATTACTATAGTACTTTTGTTGAAAGTTGGCCTTCTTTCTTGCTTATCTCTTAACCTTTCCTGTTTTCACACCTGTCTTTTGTGTTCTATCCTGAGGGATTTCTTCAAGTCTGTATTTCAGCTCACTAATTCTCTCAGATGTGCTCTATCTGTTTCAAACCATATGCTTTTACCATAGTGTCATATTCTTAGTTACAAAAGTTAAAAGTTTCTTAAGTAATTTGGGGCAATTTATTTTATAGTTTCTGTGTTATCATCTGAAGTTCTTGGGATACTTCTCTGTTTATCTCTACTAACCTTTATAGTGGTGTGTTTTCTTAGCTGATTGGTATCTGTGCATGGAAAGTTCGTGCCTGTGTTAGCTTTGTCTGTGGAAATTTACTGCTGCCCAGGTTGTGGGTATATCCCTTCTGGGGGCTGCTTGCTTTGGTTGTTCCTGGAGCTATCACTGACCTGGGACTATTCCTTATGTTAAATGTTTTGGTTGGGGGATATCTACACTTCTCTATAATGGGACTTTAAATTCTAAATCCAGCTAAGGAAAGGCTTTTGGTTACAAATTCTTATGAGAAACTAATTTTTTCTCCTTGTTATCCCAAAGCCTAAATAAACTTGTGTGTTGTCTCCCTCTTCCAGTAGGTGAATTTAGTTTACCTTTTCACTGAGATTACAGCCCTTTGAGGAGCCTTTAGGTAGAAATGGAGATAGAAAGGAGAAGTGTGAGGCCTATGTTGACTCTGAAGTCCCAAGCATCTGTCATTTAGTCAGGAAACTTTCCAAGGACAGCTGCAGGGTCCACTTTTGTAACCACTGCTTTGCTGTTTCCTTCTTTGTGTTTGGTCTCTAGGGAAATCCTTTCATCTCAGACATATTTCAAGAATGTAAGATGGCAGATATATTTGTGGGCATGCTCAACTCATGCTCATAGACCCCATGGTCAAAAAGGTTCAGATGGTGGACCCAAACACTTCTGGGCATGTTCTGTCCAGTATTATAACAAGCCAGGTATACTTCAGGTTGCCTAAAATAATGAGTCAGGAGGCCATGCATGGTAGCACATGCCTGCAATCACAGTGGCTTGGGAGGCTGAGGCAGGAGGATTGCAAGTTCAAAGCCAGCCTCAGCAAAAGCAAGGTGGTAAGCAACACAGTGAGACGTTGTCTCTAAATAAAATACAAAATTGGGTTAGGAATGTGGTTCAGTGGTCAAGTGCCCCAGAGGTTAATCCTCATTACCCCCAAAAAAGAGTCAGGGTAGCTTGGTGACCTTGATTGGTCTTCTGCAAGTTGTTTCAGAGACACTTTGAAACAAAAAGAATGGGCTTTGGGTGGGGGCAGTACGGGGATTGAACAGGGATACTCAGCCATAGAGACAGGGTCTCACTGAGTTGCTTAGCACATGTTGAGGCTGGCTTTGAACTCATGATCCTCTTGCCTCAGTCTCCTAAGACACTGGGATTACAAGCATGCACTACCGTGCCCCGCAAGAAAGTACAATTTTAAAGGAGCTTTTAATACAGGAGTTTTCCCCTGAAGGTGCCTGCCTTGCTTAGCACCAGCAGTCATACTGCTGTGACTTTTTGCATCAAGTGTGGTTCTCTGAGGTATCCATGGTGTTACTATAGCTCTAGTTCATTGATTTTTTTCACTGCTCTCTAGGATTTCATTGCATGAATGTATCAGAATGAATTTATCATTCTTTTGAGGGTGGCCATGAAGTATATTTTCTAATTTTTTGCTCTTAACAAAGAATGTTGTTGTGACTATCCTAAGAGTCTTTTGCTACACTTGTTTAATACATTCTTTCTAGGCAGTGGCTTTCTATGACTATGACCTATAGTAAGATAAATTATACGTTGCAACTCAACACATAACACAGCCAAAACAAAATTTACTTATATGATATGTACTTTGATCTTTTCTGTTAGAAAAATCAGTTGAGGGCTGGGGTTGTGGCTCAGTGGTAAAGTGCATGCCTAGCACATGGGTGGCTCTGGGTTCAATCCTCAGCACCACATAAAAATAAATAAATAAAGGAAAAAAATTGTTACTTAGACCCACTAAATTAATATTATGAAATGGGTAAAGAAATAGTGATCTATTTGGAAAAATATGTACCTTGATGTAAAATTTGAGTCAGAGAATATTCATGCTTACCAATAAAAGATGGTGTCTTTATTTTCCAAACCTGTACCCTTTATATTCCTACCAGCAGAGTAGTATTATGAGAGTTTTCTTTTCTGCATATTCTTATCAATACTGTCATCACACTTTGCAGTTCAATTTGTGTAAAATAATTTCATCTCCCATTTTCTTTTGATAAATGTTTATTCCTTCTGTGTCCTGGCACTGTTGTAGTGTTTGGGATATGTCAGTGAACAAGAAAAATAAAGGTTACTATCTTCAGGGAATGTTCATTCTGGCTGTTCTAATTTTTTAATTTTTAAGTTGACAAATTGTATGCATTCATGTGTACAACATGGTATTTTGATATATGCATACATTATAAAATGATTAAATACATCCATGTGCCTACCCCAGTCACATCCTTTTTCCTCGAAAAGCAAACATTCTCTTTACTTAACAAGTACTCTCACTTCCCTACATTTCTTGTTTTGTCTCCTAAATTTGGATCCTGAACACTAGATTTTGCCAGTTTTTAAATTTTGATGTTCACAATTTTTGAATCTACAGTTTCCCCCTTTATGCCTTTCTTTTCTTTACCAATTATCTATGGCAGAACCCAGGCATTTTGACTAGTGCAGTCTCCCACACCTAGATTATATACAGGTGTAGTATAACATACTCTGATTTTTGCAAATGATGACCATATTTTTTWAAAAAAAAAACACATATATCATTRTGAGCTGATAGATTTAAACCTAAGAGTTTCGAGTTTCAATCCATTTTCATGTTGTCCCATCTTTGGCCAATGGGAATCTATTCAGATTGACGTTCATGTCTTTGTCATAACCCTAGTAGGTTTTAATAATTTCTTTACCCTCTGGTAGGCCAGGATGTTACAGGTTCATTTTGTGTATTTTCTCCCCCTGTGTGGAATCTATATTTTTGGAAAAAGTCCTGGTTTCTTATAGTGGAAAATGAACCTGGATGCCAGGGATGCTTGTTGCTTATTTGGTGTTCATGATTTCTAGGCCTTTGTAGCAGATATCGCTAGGTTATCTATATATCCATGTATAATATACAGCTGTTTGAAATATCTCATGAATTCATATTGATATTTCAGATTTTCAGGACTAGGGTTTCTATTCCAACTCTTCTATATTATATCTTCATGTTCTTTCTCTTACATCCTGCATCCTGGTCCTTTCCAAAGAACATGATACAGTCTAATAGTTCACTCATTGCTTCATTCTACATGATAAACAGGGATCTCAGAATGATAATACAAGTTGTACATTCTTAATCCTAAAATCAAAATGTGAAATGCTGCAAAATCCAAACCTTCTTGGGCACTGGCATGACACCACAGCTGGAAAATTCCACATCAAGAAAATGGTTTCTTTGCATTAGAAAGCATCCCATTTTTGAAATGCAGTTTAATTTGAGAATGCTAACTTGGGTATATATAGGTATATATTTATGGCATTTATTTTTTCTAATCATAAAAAGAAAACTACTTGGGAACCTTCACTTCTTATAATTCTGGTTAGTTTAAACAAATGACAGTGTAGGATTATACAACCACAGAAAAAAATACTATTAGTAAAGTGTCTTCTACAATGTCTGATTTTAAAACTTAACCTAATTCTGCCAAAATATTTTAAACTACAGCAAAAAAAAATTGTATTTATGTAGTTTCATTTTGCATTCTCTTAGCTCTTTTCCCAAAAACTTTATATAAACTTTCATTAATTAATGATTTTTATGTCTTTGCACACTCACATCTGTATTTTTGTGTATAAAGAGTGTACAATATTTGAAGATTGGCTGTGTATATATAAGTAATCAAGGGCACAAAAAAAGCATTGATTTTTAAGCCACTGTAGGAAAGTTCATCAAGTAGTTTTCATCATTAATTTGATCCTAGCAAGTAATAATCTTGCCCTTCAATAGTTTTTAATTTTTATTTACAGGTAAGCTTTTGGGTTGTAAGAGAGATTCTTCATGCTCAAACATTAAAAATTAGAGCAGAAGTTTTAAGCCACTATATTAAAACTGCTAAGGTAAGAAAAACTTGTTTTTATTCTGTAATTCAACTATTCACAAATGTTTTTAGTCAGCATTTGCTGGTAATACTTTATTTACTGTTTTATTGATACTGGAAAATAGTACCTGTTGAATAATATGTCAGTTTTTTGATTGAATGCTTGTTTTCTCTGCCTTTTCCTTTATTTCTCTTGTTTTCCTCCCGTTTTATATTCATTCTCCTCTCTCAGTAGCAAAATTGAATGGTCTGTATCACTAGATAAGTAGACAGAGGTCAGATTATGATATTTATGAAATATGAGACTATTCTGAAGGTGATGGAGAAAGCCATATATGATAGAATAGGTGAAAAACAGAATTGCTTCTGAAATAGATCAATCCCTGCCAGCCATGGGGAGAATGACTTTAAAAAATAGTGTATGTGATGTTACCAAATACGTTAACTGAGCAGTGATTGTGTGGCATAGACAATATATATATAGTAGGAATAACGGAGTATTGATTTCATGGATACTCAGAATTTAAAGAGGATAGTGAGATAAACCTGAAGCAACTCCATATTTATATTAAGTTCACTAAGAACTATGGTAATTGTAGCCAAACTCATTGTTCATGATTTTTATAATAAATACATGAATTAACTCACCCATGAATGAAAGAAGATAGAATAAGGTGAGAATACCCTGTTCATAGCTACTGTAAGGCATGACTCTTCCCATGTTTTCCTTGAGTGTGTGGCAACAATTCTGTGGCACTAGGTGGCAGAGCTAGCCTTCTACAAATATGATATTTTGCAGAAGTGTCATAAAATTATCATTCTTTGTGATAAGTCAGATAAATAATGGTTTTTAGCTAGTAGAAATTAATGACTTTTCTCATAGATTCTGGATTTCCATTATTGTTTTCCGATTTTTTAATTACATATTTTTAAAAACAGAATGTATGTTACACTGAAAATCACCAAATTTTTCCCATCAAACATACCCTAGCTTTCTCATCAAATAATCATTTAATTCTTCAGTTTCAGGCCTTGAGTTATATTTGACAGCCTTTGCCTTTTTCCCAAGCCCTAATTCGTAATTGATTTTTTTCTCATCACTCTAAAGTTGCTGTATTCTGACTCTGCACTCTGTATTCAGTTTGCTATAAAACTAGCAGGTCTGACTCTTCTTTTGGTAGATTGTGTCAGTCACTGTCCTCTAGAAAGACAGAACTAATAACACTCAATATAAACGTGTATGAAGAGATCTTCTTAAGAATTGCTCACGAGATTATAGGAGCTGGTAAGTCTGAAATTTGTAGGGCATGCCACAATGCTAGAAACTGAGACAGGGGTTCTTTTCCTTATAAATCTTTTTTATTCATATGGAGAGTTGAACATGGTGCCTAATCTATAGTAAATGCTTCACATAGATATTGAATGGATAGTTTCCGAACTAGGTTAAATTACCTTTCTGTGTAAAGATATATATTCTGTTTTATGTTTTTTATTTTGTTTTTATTTGTTTTCTTTGGGTTTTTATTTAAATATCCTACCCACAGCATTTTCTAGACCTGGGCTTACCTGGTAACAGAGATAGAACTGTTCCAAAATGACTAAATTTTTAGACAGGACCTTTGAAATTTTATCAGAAAGTATGACAAAATACTATCAGGCAAATTAGAATAAATGTTAAATCTCTAGGCAAATGAATAGAACCTAGAGTTGATAGGCATTTTCTGTATGCACCCTATAAAATGGATGAGAAACAAAGAATCTGAGGTTTTAGGAAGAAGTAAGAAATTGAGGAGATCTGGAATAATGGGCAGGAAACATGATGAGCATCCTGAGTAGAAACTTTCTTAAAACTTGGAACACAAAGCAAAGGCTTAGTAATATTTCAGTGTAAGGAATGAGTTTTCTGCTGGAGTCGGAGTATGTGTTCATACCAGGTAAACTTGATACTGAACCATAACTGTCGTTTTTTAAATACATTTAAATCGCCTTTTAGAGGCAGATTTATTCCCAGTGCTTGGGGACAATATGAGGGTTAAACATGGAAGTTGTTTTGTGGGCTGAAAACCATCTACTGTAAACAGAGTAGGTACTCTAAATACAGATCTCAGGAGTATGGGTAGTAAATCGTGGAACATTACCACCTGTCTACATTGTACTTTCTAATCTTATTTTTCTTGTATTTGCTTTTAAATTTCTCGTCCATTCTTCCCCCTTTTCTTAAATCTTCAGAAACTATATGAGCTGAATAACCTTCATGCCCTCATGGCAGTGGTTTCTGGCTTACAGAGTGCCCCAATTTTCAGGTTGACGAAAACATGGGCGGTGAGTATTCTCCCTTAATTAATGAATGTTAGATTTCCTGTGGGAGGTAAAGATATATTTTTCTTTTGTAGTTCTTAGAAAGGTTAATATTAAATAGATAAGAATTTTAAATTACTTTGTTCTTTATTCTTTGAAATCTGGATTTTCCTCTCCTTAAGTGATTGACCAGATTTATGAGGTAATTTGTGGATAGACTACAGTTTGATACTTTGGTTTCTTCTCTTTAGAGAATCATTTTTGTATCCTCTTTATGTATCTTTGACGTAGTGTTTCATATTTGCCAATGGGAAAGTATAAAGACAAAATGGCATTTAATCATGTAAAGATTATGATTTTGGTAAGTTTGAGGAAAAATCTAAATTTACTGTTTTCAATTGCCATTATTTTTTTAGTCACAATCTTTATGGTTTTTTTCTTTAGGATTAATGGAAAATCTGATGGTAAACATGAACTAATATGATATTTCTATATGTTCTGATGATGTTATGTTAATCGTTTTTGGTTCTATTACATTGACAAGGTTACAGTTTAAACTTTTGACATCTGCAAATTTGTTTATCTTCATCTTTSCATGATTTTGGATTCTGTACTCAGTCTTTTCAAGTATTTTTAATTTAAATTTTATACATGTAATATTTTAGATTGAATTAAATGTGTTTATATTCAGTACTATTTAATGTTAAGACCAGTGATTTTGTTTAGAGTCTGCTCCATGTTTTTACAAAGGATTAATGTGTTTTAAAGGTCTCGTGCTTAAAGACCTGACTTTAAAAACTTTTTTGTTATTAAAATATCACTTTGGTTTTACTTAGCCAAGTGCTGCTTTTGCCTTTCCTAGTACTTGGAAGAATCAGACGTTTTCTTACGGAAACCAGGTGGATTTCTGTATTAGAAAAACAGTGTGGAAGAACTTATCCTTTTTAGTTATATTATAAGAACACCTGGGTAAAAAGTTTTAATTATGGCCTTCATTCTCTTAAAATTTGAATTTCATTGACTAATGGAAATGCTTATCAATATACAATTATGAGTTCCATCCTTAAAAGTTTAGGATAAAGCATTATACTCTTGACTTCTACTATAGTTTAGAAATGAGATATATTTCCTTCAAGTTAATTTTTATTCCCCCCTGATATTTTTATCCCTCATGTATTTGCATGGAAGAGTTATTTTATTTGCTAACAGCTACATTAATCTGAAATGAGGTTTTGGTGTTTGTATTAAATTTTAAAGTATTTTTTAAACATTTTGTTAAATATTTGTCGATGGACATTTATTTATTTATTTACATGTGGTGCTAAGACTCAAACTCAGTGCCTCACGCATGCCAGGCAAGTGTGCTACCACCAAGCCATAACCCCAGCCCTAAATTTTAAAATATTTTATACTGTGTTAGGCACTAATTGCTCAAATAATACAGAGTCTCATTCTTCTACAGCTTACCTTCTACTTAAGAAAGATAAACTATGACTAAGTAAATGATATATCATAGTGATAAAGTGCTCTGAAGTAAACAGGATAGAAAGGAAAGCAGGACAACACTGTTTATATAATATAGAAAGAGAATTCTTATCGGTGACAGGTGGGTAGATTTAGCTTTCCATCACTGAGATAATCAACTTGAAGGAGAAAAGGTTTATTTCAACTCAGAAGTTGAAAGCACATGGTAGAGCAGGATGCTCACATCATAGTGACCTGAAGCAAATAGAGACAGGAAGGGGCTGGGGTTCCAATATTCCCTTGAAAGATATACCCCTGGTGACCTGACTTTCTCCTTTTCTACTTATCCTCCTCCTACATGTTCCACCACCTCCCAGCACTTGGGCTGGGGACCAAACCTTTGACATGTGGGCCTTCTGGAGACATTCCGGGTCTAAACTATAGCAGATAAATGCTTTGGGGAATTAAGGAAGCCATTTATGTGGATATATGGGAGTTGAGAATTTCAAGTAGAGTATGATAACAAGTAAAAAGTCAAAGATATGTTCAAAGAATAGCAGGGCAATCATTGTTGACACAGTGGGCTAAGCTTAGGATTAGTGGCTAGGAGATGAGTTCAGAGAGATGACATTGAATCACATAGCAGAAATGCTATTTGCTCATATTCAGAGAGCTACAAAGCATACAGGGTATGACTCTATTCAGCACATACTGTGTTTGAATTGATAAACATCCTTGTGACATGTGGGAAATTAGGAAAAAAAGAAAGAAAGGTGGAGGGATCTTATGAAAATTGAATGGAGATCAGTAGAGTATAGGAAAGAAACCAGGGGAAGAAAGAATAGGAGGGAAAGTGGAAATACTGGGTAACAATATTGGCTAAATTATATTGTTCTGTTGCATGCCTGTATAAATATGTGACAACAAATCCCACCATTATGTACAACTAAAAGGCACCAATAAAAAAGTATGGAAGGGGGAGTTAGTGGCTGACAGCCTGGAGGAAAGGAGCAATTGGAACTAGTTACTAAAAAAGTAAACAGACAAAAATCCATAAAGTCAGTTGGATATACAAGTCTGAAGGAGTGTTTGGGAGCAGAGAGATAATGTGGTCATCAGCATCAAGTATTCAGAGCTAGATGGAATCACCTAAAGAATGAGCACAGATGAAAACCCTGGGACACACTTTAAGATACAGATATTTGAATCAACAAAGGAAATTATAGGTAGGAGTTTTCCACGGTCATACTAAGCACTTGTTTTAAGAAAGATTGATCACCTTTGCCAAATGCTGACAATAAGTTAAATAAAGTGAGAGCTTTGAAATACCCATTGAATCTAGCAATTAGAGAGGATTGGTGACTTTGCCAAAATTGGTTTAACTCTGGTTGTGAGGTGAAGAATTGATTAGATTTGAGGGAATGGTGGCGAAAAAGTGGGGCATTTTTTAGTGATTTTGCTGTAAAGGACTGAGAGAAATTATGCTGCAAAGAAATCGGGTAGTAGCTGGGGAGGAGTAAAAGACGAAAGATGTGAGGTGAAGTGTTTTGTTTATGAAATGGGATTCATGACAGTATGTTTTAATGCTGGTGGAAATGACATAGTAGAATGGGGAAAACCACAAGACAAAGAACAGTTACTCCAACACAACATTATTCTTGAATAGATGAAAATAAATAAATTAAGTCCAGTACTATAGTGTAACAGGAATAGTTTGTCCACTTTAACTGGAAGAAAAGGGATGCATTTGGTTACAAATGCAGGTCATTTGATAGATTATATTGTGGGATTCTGTAGACATTCTTCTGATTGCATTGGTTCTTCAGAAATAGAAGAAGCAAGGTCTGAGAATTTTGAGGAAGAAGTGGTAATAGGTTGAACAAAGAGAAAGGGAAATGAAAGTCACATAAAATAGAGTGAAATCATAGTAAGTAGGAAAACATAATAGATTTGATAGGCCTTTATGAAGAATATACATGAGATTTTTGATAAAGTGAAACCAGTCAACAAAGTTATGTATTCTTCAACTAGGTTCATGTRCTCAGCTTAAATCTGGAGTAGAGCTAAGAATTGAATCTAATCAGAGTTGAGATTTTTCAACTCTGTACCAGAGGGCTCCAGGGTAGTGCAAGAGATGAAAGAGGGAGTCTTCAAGACTTGTCTTGAAGGAAACCAAGCCAAGTAAAAGGAGGGAGGTGATAAACAGTAAAAAGTTAGTGTAGCCACTGGATTTCAAGTCCTAGTGGTATCAGATAATTACTCAATTCAAGATGACAAAAGGAATGGAAGATAAAAGTGATGGAAGGTAAGATCATTGGAGGATGAGAGAGGTCAAGAAACTGAGACACCAGGGTATTGGGAGTATCATCTCTGAATATTACAATCACTAAGATTGATGATAAGGATAATACTGTTTCATAGGATCTTTTTTCTCTAATAAAGTCTTCAGAACATAGGAAAATAACAGTAGGTAAATGAGTGACGTTAATGTGTTGACATCTTATGTAGTATTATCTAGCATGATAGCCACTAGTCACATGTTGCTATTAAATATTAATTATTAAAATAAAAATTCAGTTCCTCAGCTATACTGACCAGGTTGCAAGTGCTCCATAGTCACATGTTAACTAGAGGCATTGTATTGGAGAGCACTGATCTACTAGTGCCTTGAACTTAATAGATGGCAGAGGATTTTAGGGAAGAAAGTGGAATAATAAACTGGAAGATACTGTGAAGAGCAAGTAGTAGGATTATGTCTACCTACCTCCAAGCTCAATTTACAAGAAACTTGAGGAAAGGTTAAGACTTGCAGAGGACCAATAGTTTCAGAGAGTACAGCTGGAAAGGTTTGGAGGAGTGACTAGATCAAGTTAGAGAATAAATAAAGCTTGTTTGGGTTAAAAAAGTCTATTTGGGTTAAAAAATTTTAATGATTGAAGAATTGAAGGTTTTTGTTTTGTTTTTTAACTGATCAAGGGAATGTACCAAAAAGTCTAAAACATCCTATAATAGGGAAAATATTGGAGCATTCTCCATAGCATCAAGGGAAAAGATGTACATTTTCTTTTTTTTTTTTTAAGATGTACATTTTCATTATTTTTTTCAACATAGAGATCCTAGCTAGCATATAAAATAAAAGAAACTTTTTTTCCTGAAAGGAATATAAAATAGGGGGAATTTTATTTACCATATTATAATTTACTCATCTATAGAAAACTCTAACTACAGATAAAACATGAYTCAAAACAATTAAATTTCTCCTAAACTAAACACAGAATTGCCTTGTGATTAAGCAATTAGTTTCTGAGTATATACCCAAAATAATGGAAAGCAAAAACATAAATATTTTTGTATCTGTGATCATAGTAACATTTTAAGTAGAAACGACCCAAACATCTGTAAAGGRATGAATAAATGAATGAAATGTCATATATATGTATAATGGAATATTATTTGGCATTAAAAAGAATGGAATTCTGCAACATATTACAACATGGATGATCCTTGCAGATTTATGCAGTGTGAAATGAGTAGCTACAGAAAGACAAATATGATTGATT